TTTATTCTGAATATATTTATTTATACCTTTTCCCTTTTTTAAATAATTTAAACGGTGAGGCGAATGAGACGAAGCATCTTAGCGACAGTGTGACGTGTCTCACAGGCGTTGGGGTCACCTCATGTGGGGCCCAAGTTGACGTGGACTCGAAGAAAAAATGCTTGAGATCGGATTCATTTACACTTTTCATTCGCATTAATTTTTTTTATTTAAAATTATTATTTTGCGTTTCCGGGACAAAATTACGTTTCTTCCCTTCCCTCCCGATAATACCCCTGATATTAGGAAGAAAATGACGAATATAACCCCCACCTGCCGCTTTTGATTGAATCGGGACAATTGACCGGTTGTTCCAGTTCATATTGTGAAGTGGCAGCTATTATTAACCTTCTTTGTCTGCCTCCACGTGTAATATTACAAGTAGAACTAGTGTACATTGTACACGTCAGCATCACCTTTATTCACGCCCATAAACCTGTTTTTTTTTTAATTATAAATTACACGTCAAATCATAAAATATGTCCAGTTATTAAAGTCAACAAAAATAAAAAGTTTGGAATTGTGGAAGGGTAGAAGTAATGGATAGAGCGTATGGATTCAATTTTATTTTGTTACGGCAATTAATAGTGTTATTTTGTCTTAAACAAGGCAATCTCGAGCTTTTAATAGCTAGGGGTAGATTGGTCATTTCGATATGGCAAAAATCGACCTAAAAAGTGTTAAAACATTATTTTTTTTTTAATTTGACAAGATAATTATTATTTATACAAAGGATAAAGAAAATGTGTTTTTTAATTTGTGGGCTTCGTGGAGGAAATCGGGGTAGTCATTGTATTAACAGGCCAGAAATCAATGGGCCGGCCCATTGGGTAATTTCGAACCGACTTAGTTTTGAATGGGCTTAAAAAATAATATATATATATATAAAGTAAGTGGGAAAGATTATGTTGTAATACTAAAATTGAAGTTTTTAAAAGTCAACGTTGGATAATCTATTATATATTTTTCTATGAAGTATTTTTGAATTTATTAAACTTTGATTTTTTTAAATGAATATTTTTTTAAAAAATATATAAAAAGATGGAAAAGATTTTTCACGAAAATTCGACCAGCCAATTACCTACGACGAATTCCTACCTCGATCTAAACAAAAATAAATAAAAATTTTGCAGGAATGAAGATTAAAATAAGAGATAGGATAAGGACAAAGAAGGTTTTCTCCTCCCCACGTTACCTCATGGACATCTCTACTCGCCACGTTCTTCATCCCCACCTCGATTTCTACATTTTTAAAAAATATAATAATAATATTTGTTATGGGTTGACCAACCAACAAACTTGAATCTATCTGCTAAATATATCTATACAGAGAATCTTCGGATTTAGTAGTTGGTTACCATGGATCAAGGCCCAACATGTAATCTTCGTTGTACATCTATGTATTCATTAGGTTGTAACCCATACAGGTCACAATGTCATTCAACCTAACATACTTGAGCCCATCAAACATATCGACTCAGACCAATCCAAGCCCATTTAATTGAGTGAGACACCTCGATTGTTAGTTGGTTGATTCATGACCCACTACAAAGAATGATATAAGGTGAGTACCCGGGAAAATGAAGAATGTCACAATTCCTGATAGGGAAATTGCAAAATGAAGAAAAATCTTGAAAAGAATAAAGAATATCATATTTCAATGTCTTCATGCTTTCAAATCTTGAAACTTACTTTGTAACATGACTATTAGCCCATCGCAAAGACATATTAGGTAATTTTATATATATATATTTTTTTGATTAAATAGAATAGTTCTTAAATTTTATTTAAATTGTTAAATCTTAAGGATAAAAGTCTCAACTTCGGGCTCAATATTATTGTTAATATTATGGTGTAAAATTATAGTATGTAAGCTTGATTGATCTTAGGCGGTGTCGAGCAGTCACTTATGGACCAACCGTAGCAAAATTTGGGCACCATGTGGTGGTGAGTCCCACACTCTATTTATATCTTTGTAATAGGACATATAGTCCTGTATGATAGAACAAACACCCACTTTGTGTCTTGTTCGATCATCGATCCTAGTTGAGCTATCTCACTAATTTAAATGTGACCAAATTTATTGAGCCAATGTATTTGATACTCAAGTATGTTTTGTCAATTTTGGGTTGACCCATAACTTTGATCTTATTCATGAGGCGATTAATAAAGTAGTTAGGTGAGTGCGTTGATTAATATGAATGACCTTTGGGAACATGTGCGACGAGAAAGGTTAGCCACTTGTTGTCTATTCCTTGGTCGACCATTCGATGGGAGGTCGATCAGTGTGGGATGACCCTTAGATTCAACGACCACGACTCTCTAAATTTTTACTAAGTCAATGCATTAGTTGACTTGAATGTATAATACATTTTGAGACATTTTATATTTGACAGTGTAGATATGATCGGGGAATATAAGTAAAAAGTTCACTAACTATTGTTTGTGAATTATTTTTTTGTGCATAAAGCCGAGAAAATTTTTACTCAAAGAAGATTTTAGATAGGGAACTAACCAATCACAACGAAGGGTGTGTCCACGTGTCGGTACCAGAGGCCATCTTCCCAAACTGTGATCGCGGATAAACAAGCCATTTCTGAGCATAGAAAATGGCGAATCCAAAAAGAAAATCTCTGCAAACACGAGGGATCGAAAAGTCGTTAGCAGCGGCAACTCCTCGACGGCCATTTGATTGGGGATTCCTCTCTCTTTCCGGCGTCGATTCTCAAGTTTGATTGAACTCTCGGCAAAGAAATGGCAGCCACGGCCTCTCCCACAGCGGCCATCGCCGTTCTGAGACCTTCTCTGGCTGCTCCGCAACCCACTCGCCGCTCCGCCATGCCGCTCCTCCCTCCTCGACTCGGCTCCCCTTCTTTCCCCACTTCCCTCAAAATCTCCTTAGGTAACTTTCTCGTAAAATCCTATTAATTTTCTTTTGGGCAATTCGTCGAACACATTGTGTGCAAGATGAAATTCTCGGTCTGTTTTAGTTTCTGATGTTTTCGTTTCTCTTTGGGTATCTTCTTAGTTGGGTCTTGAATTTTGGAGCTTGGTTGTGTGTGTATCATTCGATTCATGAAGATAATTTGTCCCCGTGATTTGAGCCTGAACTTTTTTTAGTTTTATAGTTCATTCAATTCTGGCAACTCAACTGCTACACGATTGAGTGCGTTAAGTTTGCTGGTAGTCCTACATTATGAAAAAGTAGATTAAGGTGCTGTGATTTACTTCGAGACCTTACATATGAAATTTTTCAAACCAGTTTCACACATCATACATCTATAAACTATGCTTACTTTCAAGAGAAGCCTTGCGAATCTGTGAATTTAGAATGCCTAGGTTTATGCTTCCATTAAATATCTTAGATTTGTACAGCTTTTATGGAACTTCAGTTTTAGAGAATGATATGTAATAGCCTAAGCCCACTGTTAGTAGATATTGTTCGCTTCAGCTGATTACATATCGCCATCAGCATCACGATTTTAAAGCGCATTTACTAGGGAAAAGTTTCCACACCCTTGTAAGAAAGCTTCGTTCCCCTCTCCAACCAACGTGGGATCGCACAATCCACTCCCCTTGGGAACCAACGTCCTCTCACTAGCATACTGCCAAGTGTTTGGCTCTGATACCATTTGTAATAGTCAAGTCCATCTCTAGTAGATATTGTCCGTTATGTATTACCATCAGCCTCACGATTTTAAAACACGTCTACTAGAGAGAGATTTTCACACCCATATAAGGAATGCTTTGTTCCCCTTTCCAGCCAATGTGGGATCTCCTTGGGAGCCAACATCCTCACTGGCACACTATCCAGTGTTAGGCTTTGATACCATTTGTAATAGCCAAGCCCATCTGTAGTAGATATTGTCTGCTTTGGCCCGTTATGTATCACCATCAGCCTCACGATTTTAAAACGCGTCTACTAGGGAGAGGTTTCCACACCCTATAAGGAATGTTTTGTTCCCCTCTCCAACCAAGGTGAGATCTCACGAGATATGTTCCATGGACTTAAAAGGAAATCAGAGAAAACTTCATAATTGGAAATGAGGTCTGTAGTTTAAGAACATGGTTCACTTTTTGTGTGATAAAAATTGTCGTTTTATCGTTCATTGCTATTTTTGAATTGTGAATTAGATAATTTGTCACTGAAATGTTAGTTTCTTGATTTAGACCCCTTTAGATTCAAATGGGATTTTCCCAACTTACCATTTGGTGACAGAGTCTCGTAGATCGTCTCTGCTTCAAACCCGAGCCTCATCTTCAGAAGAATCATCTGCTGCTGATGCTTCTGAGCTCTTTACAGACTTGAAAGAAAAGGTATATTATTCTTCATCATTCATTTTATGGTCTTTTTTGTTTCTTATACTAATGTCATATTGTTTATTAGTGGGATGCCCTTGAGAACAAATCTACGGTACTTCTCTATGGAGGTGGGGCGATTGTTGCTGTATGGCTTTCTTCAATTCTTGTTGGTGCAGTCAACTCAGTTCCATTGGTAAATGATTCCATCAAGCTCATGCTTCTGCTTAAATATTTATACTTCCAATTTGTTTCTTCCCCTTCTAAAAGCCCATTTGATACTCAATCTTCATCTATTCTCCCCAGCTTCCGAAGATCCTGGAGTTGGTCGGACTTGGATATACAGGGTGGTTCGTGTACCGATATCTACTCTTCAAGGTAAGTAGAGAAAAGAATTAAGACCTGTATCAGAGAAAAGAATTAAGACCTGTATCAAACAAGATTTGTCGAGGATTGTTGGGAGAGGAATCACACGTTGACTAATTAAGGGTTGATAATGAGAGGAATCACACGTTGACTAATTAAGGGTTGATAATAATTTATAAGTAAGGAATACATCGCTATTGGTATGAGGTCTTAAAACAAAAAGTAAAGCCATGAGAGAAGTAAAGCCATGAGAGCTTATGCTCAAAGTGGACAATAGTAAAGTCACGAGAATTTGTGCTCAAAGTGGACAATATTATACCATTACGGAGGTTCGTGATTTACAACAAAATCTGCATTGTGTCATCATTTTAATGTTTGATGCTTTCTCAAGCTTCACCCTTGATGAGATTTTGCTATGGTTTCTAAGTTTTGTTCGAGATTAAAACGTTCGTGTCACATGTTTCTAAAGAGATTATTGGATGAAAATGGCAATCTGAGAGTTCTAAGAAACCATAGAAATGTAATCATAGCTCTTGGTTGGTTCTGCAACTGGACATTGACTTGAAGAATGTTGTTTGTTTCTTCTTGCTTCCTCAGTCAAGCAGAAAGGAGCTAGCTGATGACATTGAAGCATTGAAGAAGAAGATTGCTGGAGCAGAATAAGATGCGCGTTATCGGGCGCCGTGTTTCGACATGCATGGTTCCTCTTATGAATCATCATTTTGTACTCTACTCCACTTAGTTTGTAAGAGGCAATATGTCCCCTTTTCTTTGTATCTGTATAATAAGATTTGTCAAGTTCATTAAATGGAAACAATCTCTTTTTTCTCAAAACTTATTTCTTGCTTCAGAAAAAGAAAATGGTGAAATTCATTGAAAATGAAGCCGAGTCGAGTTCACTGGTTGACCACATATGAAGCCTGCACACAACATCCCTTTGTAATTTCGGTTGTCTTTTATCTCAACCCTAGAAAGAATTTAGGAAAATCTAATGGAAAGGTACACACATAAATATAAGATACTTACATGTCTCCCTACGAACAATTTATACGAACAATTTAGATAAATCATTTGTGACAATTATAAATAAGAAAATATGCTAGACTAGCATCTGAATCATGTGCAAATTTGTGCATTAAAAAAAAAATCTTCAAAGCAAAACCACAACAATTTGAATAACGTGATAACAAATAATTTTTCTAATCCTTCTACATTAACCCACTTAACTTAAACCAGTATTCTTCAAGAAACAGTTTTCAGAAACACGAAATGAAAGCAAAATCTTTATGGCACACTTCTTCATCAATCTTCTAGAAAACAGTGCTCAGAGACTCGTGAACTTCCATGACATAGTAATTATTACCCAACTTTGGCAGTGACAGTTCTCATAAAAACAGAACAGTCAAATTTCTAAGGCTACCAAAAAGATCTCAAAGATTTAGGATACCAGAATTTCAGGTTGCAAATGTTGATGATAAGTAGTATCGAGAAGGAAAGTAAAGCAATATCCAGAGAGATTTTAGTATAACATAATTGAGATCCAAGTATTAGCAATAGAACAGTTTTACTATCACATCATCTTCTTTGAGTCGAGGGAGGGATGTCAAAAGGGGAGCCAAGAAAAAAAAACAAAAAAAAAAAAAAGAAAGACGTACAAAAAATTAGATGGTTAGACAACCTACACAAGATATAGTTGGATAATACCTTTCGATCCTTTAGATACAGAACAGAACAGAACGTGGTCGGAGTCGGAGTCGGTCAGGGCCTGATGGTAAGTTCAGCTCTAAGATGGAGGACTCCATTTATGAAGTATAGACTATCTTCGGCCATGAAAGAAGTCCATGGTATTGCAAACAAGTTTCTATAGCCAACAGCCTTGCCTCCAGTGAATGTGTAATTGCCCTTATATTTGCTAACAAATTCCTCTGTAGGCTTTGATCTTGCAGCAAATTCATAGTCTACTGCGAAAGATACTGATCCTTTTTCCTGCATTCCCAAGAAAAGCCCAAAACAATGAAATGAGCTCTGCTGGTCCATGTTGCAATGAGCTGAAAGGAAAAATCCTTGTCCACCCAAGTGGAATGCCTGAGAATACACTCTCCCAGACGGAAACAAATTTGTACATTCTTCCCGCTTTAGGTCCAGGTATACTACACACTGCTGCCGAGGGCAATCAAACTCAACAACCTTGACTGGACGGTATTTGTATGCTCTCTCAATAAAGAATCGGCGGTTTGAGGAAGCCGACTCATCCGCAGCTATGATTCTCTGTCGGTGAGGGGCCTCCGCCTTGAAGAAAAGGGCCTCAAGCACAAGTTTGCAAGCAACCTCGTGGTCGAAGTCATTGCAGGTCAGGACTTTCTTAAGCTTTCGACAGGTCATAAAGGGGAATCGAATATAACGTGCAAGTCTGGCCCCCAGCACTTCTCGCCTCTCCTCCAACCTTGAATACTGAGATCTAGCCCACTTCAAGATGAAATCGTATACTGCATCCTCTGATGCAACCTGTAGATCGTCACTACACAATATTGCCTCCACTCCTGCAAGAGGCAAAGCCATAACCTCATCCTGGTACCTGGTCAAGTACAAGAAGCCTAATTGAGAAATATCCTCCCTCCCAGTAGAACCGAAACATGATAGACACAATGGGGGAAGTCGGTAAAAAGCTGTAAGAAATGATTGCTGAAGAAACAATCAGACTCAAAATCCATTATATCACAAATATAGTCTAAAAGTTGTCTCTTGTCTTAATGTCTAATTTGATGGTTGGATAAACAATCGAGCTTTTTCATCAAATTCGTAACTGAATGTGTCAGTTCATGATATACCATTGAGATGCAATGGATGAATTTCAACCGTGCACCTCTCAAAACTCTTATCTATTCTCAGTGAAAATGTGCAAATTCACAATGCAAAATTATATGAATTTAGGGCAATTTCTTGTAAATTATGACTTAGTGAGGTAGGACCACAAGTCCCAAAAGACAGAATATCCACAAAAAGAGAAAAAAAAGTATTAAGTTGAAGAAAACACTCCATTAACAAAGAAATGGACATGCTCTAACTTCCAACTAAAGGGACAAAACAGAAATAATTAGAATATTTCAGCTCCATTCACCAAGCTTGGTTTAAGCCAAAAGTCGGAGGTGGAAGGTCGAACATCTACCACTACCACGTACTACTAACATTTAGGATCCAGATAACAATTTTTCCCTGGTTACAATTATTTTGAAAATTATTTGATTCCTTCTAAAGGGAACACGGCCTTGAGTAGAATCCTTCAAATTGACATTCCCCCTCAAAAACTTCCCTCTCCCCACCACAAACAAAGATTAAAAAGTAGAAAATAAGAAGAAAATTAAGGAAAAGAAAAATATCATAGTATAACTTGAGAGAATCAGAAATTTACTTGGTTATGTCCTTGTAGCGAACAGCAAGATACTGCTTTGCTGCATCAGTCAATGGTTGGACTGCTTCAGCCATTAAGACACTGGATGGAAGCTCTAGATATAGCAATGCAGACTCAGGTGTCATGGGTAAATTTCTTAAAAGTCTGCTGCAATACCTCATGCATGAAGCAACCTCAAATTTGTCGGCGGCCATAAGCACATCAAGCAAAGACAAAGCAGTGCTACAAGATAGGGTATTGCTATACATAAAATTCAGCAACTCCATTAGTGCAGCTTCCTCTGTATGGTAGAAGGAAAGAAAATTATAAATAGTATGATCTGTAATAAAGAATAAGATGTACAGAAAAAAGAAAGAGACAATGAATTTTTTAATGTATACCTGAGGCATTGATTCGTAAGGTCACATTCCGCTGTTCAGACTCCCTCATCCCATTAGAGAAAAGCTAGACAGGAAATTATTTCTTAGATAAGAGTAAAGGATTTATAAACGACAGTTCCTACAAAAATTTAACAAATAGAAAAATTAATATACTCTTATATCGTATAAATATATATTTGCTTTTACCTTGTAGAAAAAAGGGCTTTTAGCAGCCAAAATTGGAGAGCTGATATGCAACGTTTTGACTTTAATAACAGTAGAACAATCCATCCCCCAGCTTGATTCATCGCCATTTGCAGCTTCATCACCTGCAGCAAATGAAAATTTCAAGACGTTTTATTCTAATAATCTAATGATTTTAAACAGGATGTCAGCTCCATTTAAATGACACTAAACATTTTCTTTGGAGTAAGCTACATAATTCCCAAATATAACTCAATGTTACATTTTCTTAAGGATTAGAACCACGCAGAAGAAAAAATTCAAGAAAACTCATTTTGAATTAGGCAACGTAAATAACATCAATAAGTTAGCTTCCTCATCTGTATTGTCTATACCTGAATGTAGCTCTTCAATCATTTGAGCAGGTTCATCATCTAGATTGTCACAAGGTATGCCATCATCCATATCAGGATGGCTTCCATTTAAGACTTGCTCCTCAGGGCATCCATTTAGATCGACAACTGCAAAGAAAGTTGATAAAAAAGAAACAAAGTTTGAACAAAGAAAGGAACCAAACCTGAATACGTACAAAAGGCCATATACAAGAATAATGAAAATTACAGGGTCCACGTCCAAGTAACAACAATGTAACATAGAACTAATACACAGTTAGATGGCTACATAAAGAAACTTGCTCGATCACAGTTCAGTTCTATCAAAACAACAGAAAGACCAACCAGAGCGATTCTTATCAAAGTAAACCGATGGTTTCAATTTCAGAGACAGCAAAGAAACATAAAATTATGACGTTTAAAATTATACAGGTTCATTCTATCTAAACATCATATAAAAAGGAATCCTCTTCGACAAAATAACATCCCTTGCCGATATACCATTTGTTGCAGTGGCAGTAATTCTCTATTATGCATACCATCAAGCTAGAAATTTCAGGGCAGCTCAGTTCTCATAATCTTAATAAAACAACATGAACCATTGTTCTCCATTTCCTATTTCACCTTGCAAACAAATATGAACAATTCCTACGTCACCTTGAAAACTGAGGCCAGCGTCATTTTATTTTCTGCAATCACGACATAATTACTACTGTACCAATCCACTTCGTCATTTTCCTCCCCAACCAAATAGAGTAATCTCTCCGTTCCCCAGACAAGAAATCAAAGACTTCAACGATTCCAAGTTCCCGGTCGTTCCTCAACACCACCGATCAAACAAAGGCAATTTCTAGGCCAAAAGACAAAACAAAAGGTAAAATAGAAAAATTAGAAACAAAATTTACCGTTATCCTTCTTGCAATCTTCTCTCCGTCTCTTCCGTCGAGCCCAATCGAGGATGCTCGTACATCCCACAGAATCTGGACGGGCCTCCTCCAGTTCCCCCATAATCTCAATCCGAAGCAACCGATCAGAGAAATTACTATCGTTAAAAGCGAATCCAAAATCCGCGTCGGATGGTGAAGAACAAGAGGCACGCGAATAATCCGAATCCATCCCAGCCGTTGGGTCAAAAACATCCGAATTCAAATCCTTCATGTCTACAGACCACTGAAACCCCCCCACCCCCCCTAATGAAAACCCTAAATGTCTAGAATCAAACAGAAGGCAATCGACAAAAGACGATTCAGAAATCGAAACCCTAACAGGATCGAAGGCGCTACATTTGAGTTCGCAGAGGAATGAGACCTCGGCAATCGATAAATGTTGAGAGAGAGAGAGTTTTAGAGAGAGAGAGAAGCAGAACAACCAAAGCGGCAAGGAGGCTTTCTTGAATTGGTTTTAGCTGTTTGTTTGGTTATGGGGGAAAGAGGCGCCCCTAACAATTACCGACCGTAATAAAGGGGATTGGACTTATCAAATTCCTGTACCTGTCCCTACCACACTGTCCCATTTCCCTTCCACACTCTTTGCTTAATTATTTATATTAATTATTTTCCTTTTTAATATTATAATAATAATATTATTATTATTCGTTATTAATTGTTGCTTCCATTTTCAATTTATTATTCATTTTAAAAATACATTTTAATTTACGATATAATTATAATGTTACCTATATTTAGTTTATCTTTTATTATTTATTCTTCCATAATTCTTATAAATATTTTTTTAACTTTTGAGGAGGCCCCAACCAGAGACTCAAGCCTACATGAACCATCATCGATGTAAGCCCAAGCCATGCAAGAAGGGTCTGGTTGTCCTGAAACCCCTTTCCTTACTCCTCACCATACGAATGACCCTGAGTTAGGGCCGGATCGAATTTGTTTTTTTCGATGGGGTTCGTTTTTAAATAAGCAATCAATCCCGAACAAGCACCTATACCTATATTTTTTAGTAGAATTCGATTGAAGTATGTATGAAGACTTGTATTTATTAATGTAATAAACATATGTGCATGTGTGTATATATATATATATATATATATATATATCCTCCTCTATTATAGTTCTACGGGGGACACCACATGTTGTACTCTATCTAATTTTCTATTTAAGATAATAATAATAATATTTTTTTTTTAATTGTAATCATTTATGTTACGTGGAATTAAGAATTTTGACGACAACAACGTCTGTGTTGAGCGCTAATGGAGCCTTTATTAGGTTTCACAAAATTCTCACCTGATATTATTAACTAATCAGAATGGTTCGGTATTAGACCATGGTATTTGATACCAAATACAACATTATTCAACTCAATTTTTTTTTTTGAAAAAACTGAAATAAAAAAAATTAATTTGAGGTAGATATTGGTTTAGGTGACCCAAATTCATGTTGGCCCAACCCCAAGTCTATTATTATGGCCTGACCCTTTTAGATATATTGGGCTTTCATAAAGGGATTTGAAACTCTTAACAAATTGTACCATGTTCATTTCAAATGTGAACATTTCATTATTCATTGTATTAATTTTTGTTTGTATATACGGCTCGATTTTAATCTCAAGCGAGTTATGAACTTCTATTTGCGAGAGTTTATCTTTTGATTATTCCATTAATCTTTTGGGTTTGTGTTCACCGACCTAAGCAAAGTTTTGTATTAATCGGGTTCTTATAACATTTAATAACTTTTATTTGCCGTGCCTAATCGAGATCATCATCAAATTTTCTTCAGATTTTTGGACAGTCGGACATGAGTTAACCAAAGGAGTAGGAGTAGGAGTAGGAGTTAAATTGAATGGGCCCATCCCCTTCGTTGCATAACATATGCATACATCATACTGTTGGCTTATTAGCCCTTGATCTCACATTAATTAATTTCAATGAATTAATTAGTGATGTTTTGATGATAACAAACCTACTTTTAATTATTAACTATTTTCAGTTTTTTGAATTGTCCACAGTATAAGGTCGGGAATAACGATTACAACAACTTTTCAATTACTCAAATCAGAGCTAAAACGAAGAAATTAGAGTCGAGACAACATACCCGACGTGATGATGTGGCAACAAAATCAAAATGATGGACAAATCAAAATATATCAAAGTATGACATTTATAATATTGGAAGAGTAACAAATGGTGGAGTTTTTCTTATTATTACATTTCTAAATAAAATTATTTTTACAAAATATAAATTTGAATATAACCGTTACTCACATCGAATTTTATTATTACTATATTATATTATTATATTATTATATTTTAAAATTTTGGTAGTTACTCACATCATTTTTATTATTATTATATTATTATATTTATAATAAATTTTGAATTTCATTTTACCGTTACTCACATAACTTTTTATTATTATTATATTATATTACTATTATATTAAAATTTTGAAATAAATGAATTTAGAAAATTTTCTTATTTAATTACTTTTAATCTCCACCTTCCATTATTCCTAACACAATCCAATGGTCAATATTCAATCCTACATTTTGCCACTTTTCTCCTCTATATAAACTCATCTCCCCCACATTTTTACAACACACAACTTACATACATTCTTCAATCCTCATTTGTTCAAAGTCTCCATTGTTTGTTGCTCTCTCCAAGCTTACAAGTTTATTTTTTTTTTCATCTTATTCTTGAGAGGGATTATTATTATATTGTGAGGAAATAGTTGTGAGTATCCCAAATTGTAAATCTACTCTTTGAGAGAGTTGTGGTGTGTTATTATCAAACTCAAATACTTGTATCGGTTTGATCCTGCGCCGTGGAAAGGATTGAGTTTGCTCTTGAACTCGTAAAAAGAGCGGTGTACCGGTTTGGCTCTGATCCGTGGAAAGAGTCGGAAAAGTTCTTTATTCAAATTCCCAAGAGGCGCTTGGGGAGTGGAGTAGGTCGAGTTTGACCGAACCACTATAAAACTACGGTGTCATTTTCTCTAACTCTTTCCTATTTAATTTCAAGATTATTATTATGATTTATTGCATGTTCTACTTGATTATTGCTTTGACTTGAATTATTTTGTTTTAGTAATTATCATCTTCTACTTATTTGTAAAAAGTTTTATCATTAAAAAAAAATTAATCAAGTTTAAACATTTTTATCGTTAAAACCCTATTCACCCCCCCTCTAGGGTTGCCATACCGATCCAACACATACATCCACGTGGATATACAATAAATAAATCATAAATATGTTATATTTATTGATATGAATCAAGGGACATCAATCATACAATATGCTTCTTCAATGAAGATATGAAGAAAATATTATTGAAATTATCAAAATATATTTAATTCATGCCACATTGAACTAGAATGAAGTTTCATATGTTATAAATTTTGGGTGGATTACAATTTAGAGTTATTGTATTTCGTTGATGTATTTTAAGACTTTTAATTTACTTTAGGTTACAATTATCTAATGGTTAATTATGGCCATTAAGTATGAATGTTACAGCTCTTGGTATGCTTTAGTTTCTTTTGAGACTCTATAAAGTCATGTATGTTGTATTTGCAAGAAGACTTGGAAAATAGCCTAAAAGAAGCATTTGTGTTTTTCTTTAGCCAATGACTAATTTTCTTTACAATTATATGTAGTTTAGGTTGCATGTAGAATCATTCAAACTCGACATGATTAATCTTGCTTGTGGAGTGATTCGAATCTCAATCAAGTGTTTTTGTTTTGAGATATTTGATCAACAAGAATCATTCAAGTTAGACATGATCGATCTTGCTCGTGGAGTGATTCGAATCTCAAACAATGTTCTTGTCTTGAGATATTCGATGAACAAGGTAATCCGAATCTTACTCTCCTCACACTGATTTCCACATATCATTTATTTAGAAGTGTTTCTATAATCTCTAAGTTTGGTTGGATTTTTGAAAAGTTGAAAATTTTGTATTGGTTCATGGGTTAATTTTTTTTTTGCTAGGTCAATCAAACTAACTTTAAAATAGGGTTACAACTCAAACCAACCCAACCCAACCCAATTTTTAAAATTATTATGAAAATTAAGAAAATTAAAAAAAATTTAATGTGTGTAATCGATAGCAATGATGCATTGACTTTGAAAATCTAGAGCCGGGTTGTAAATTCTATTCAAGTTGCTGAGGTCATCAACTCAACAACTCGAAAATAAAAGGGTTGAGTTATAAACTATTTTCGAGTTTCTCGAGTAACTAACTCAATCAATTTAAATTTTCGAGTTGGTTCAAAAACTTTCTCCAACCCAACTCAACCCAACCCGGACATACGGTGATACCGAAGAACATAAAAGAATTAGTAATGGTAATGCATGAAACTCATGAAAAAAGGGGAATGGCGGCTCCCCTTAGAGAAATAGCCAGGTATACGGTTACGTCGGCCGGAAAACTGGGCGGAAGCTGCGGCTTGTAGCTTCTGAAATATGGTAAGTTGTTGCTCCCATTTTTTATTGCTTTTTGCATGCCTTTTGTTACCCTAATTCAAATAATAATTAATAATTATAACTCACATGAAACCCTAAAACTAATGCTTTTTTCATTTTTTTTTTATTTTTTTTTTAATTTTCATCCAATACATGCAACAACTCCAACCAGGACTTTTAACATAAAGTTCCTAACAAATTCCTTCATTTTCTTCCCTTTTATTTAATTAATTTGTCATTATCAACGTAGCTTAAGGGATATTTTATTTTATTTTATTTTATTTTATATACTTTATTTGATTCCTACCCTTACAAATTTTAAAATTAATTAACGTTATTGATTATACTTAGCTTAATTGTCGGAATATATGATTTATTGTCGGTTTTGGATAAAGGACGATAGGAAGATATTATCTCTCCTTTTTTTTCGAGAATCTTTGCCGACTTTAGGTATGACAACACGGGGCAAGGCGGGGTGGAGATGTACTCCTAATGTCCGTTTCCGTGGGAATTTTTCATATTAATTTCTTGTTTTGGACGATTGCGGTCGTATTTATACCGAATCTTTGTTTGCGGATTTGGATCGCGAGAAAATCTTTGTTTTTCTTTTTTCTTTTTTTATTATTGTTACTAAAATTTATTAAATTTTAATAAATATATTTAAATTCTATATAATTTTTAGGTTAAAGTTAATATTATTGTTTTATTTATTTAAGCATATACTTTTTTCCAACCTACAAAAGGATTATATTATGAAATGAAATATAATGTCATACAAATATGAATATAATTAAGTTAAAACAAAAAAATGGAGATTATTGAAGGGTTTTAAAGTTTACATTATTATTATAAATAATTATTATATTTTCTTATACAAAAATTAAATATTCAGGTGGATTTAGCGTTGGGGGTGGGAGGAGGATATCCACCCCGTCTTGAACATGGGACCAAACTTCAACTCGGTAAAACGTACACATAATCGACTGTGGTGAATAACGAAGCTATCATACTATCATACTAAGATCAACTGTGGTGAATAACGAAGCTATCATTAGTTATGAGTGTGACCAACCATCGACCACCACTCCATCATCTTGTTTGCGATGGCAGGCGGCCGTAGTATCAAATCATAGTTATTAGTGGTGGAGTATAACAACCATGGAGAAGTAAATGTCATGAAGGGTATTTTAGTCATTTTCATAAATAATGAAAAGTTAGAAGTTCGAATTACACGTTATTATTGAAGGATTGAAGGATCGAATCTTCTGTTCGTATACTAAGCCGTTGAAGGAAGGAATAATTGAATTGTGTTTATATTTGTTGAAGATTAAATGTTTGATAGAGGAAGAACATGAATTGAATTTAAATGAAATAATAAATGAAATATTAGATTTAAATTTAAGATGGACGCTACAAACCCAGCATCAATCATACTATTTATGTAATACATCAACGCCAAAGATCGTAATTGAAGCCTTGTTCATCAGCCTAAAACATTCCTTGTCGAACAACATCAATCACGACCGCTATCAGTGTCTGCTACCACTAGCTAGCTCGCTCGAACCAACATCAAACCTACAATCAAAACGAAAATTAAGAACAACCCATTTGAAAACATTGAAGAAAAAGGGAAGAAATGATAAGAAATTGATAGATAAGAGAAAGAGAAAGCGGAGGAGATAACATGGGAAGAGCTCCCTTCAATCCAATAAAGGAAAGGAGAAGACAAGAACAGCTCCGAGCGCATGCAAGCCTTTGGAAGGTGCGGCGGCGCGCTTAGGCGAAGGAGCGGCACCCCATAGGCATTCATGAACTCGCAGCACTTCCTTTGACCCTCAACCCCCCCTCTCTTTGAATTGAAGGGAGCTCGGTCGGCAGCTCTCTCCCTCCGCGGTGGAAGGAATGGGATATGGAATGAGGCAGAGAGGTGGGGGCATTATATAGTGAAGTGGAAGGGGAAAATGGTGGGCATTAATGGAGACGGGTAAGCAAATCAATGGTGGGAGAGATCTGGGATCGGCGTTTAAGAAAATGACAGAGTCAATGGAGGGAGGAAGAGCGTGTTATTGTAACGGATGATAGATTTGTGTTCAAAACCAGCTACTTTTGGTGCAGCAGTATTGTTTAAACTAAGAACCACATTCAAAAACGTAATTATAGAAGGTTGAAAAGTTAGCCACAGATTTTTTCCCTTATATGGATCAAATGGGTTTGTTTCCTCTGAATTCTCAACCACATTTCAAGCAATTCATTGCCCAATAAAGTGAAGAGTTCTTACTACAACTGGGTTGACTCCACATGGATCAACACTCGAAGTTCCTGTAAGATGAGCAGAGTATAAGATGTTGATTCCCGAGGGCCATTCTTTCTTTCAACAACAACAGTGAAGAGGGTTACCAGTTTTAGGTTGATTCTCTTGCTAAGAACACTTTGCTGAGGAAATCCTGGAAGCGAGAAGAATATACTTTGGGGTTAACAGCTGAGATTGTCTTGGAATCATATTGTATAGATTTGTAAGCATGTTCTAGACGCTTGATCACATTGTAATTCTGGAAAATGTCTATTACTCCAAAGTATAGCAATACATTGTAGCACTCTGGCACCCTGACCCTGCTTGGTGAAGAAACGATTCCCATCTCGTTCCTTGGCGTTCGGACCGCATTTGCAGGAAGTTTTGCACCAAGCCTGATATGAACACCTCGTTAGTTCAAGTAGACCATGGCTGCTTGCTCAAGATACTACTAGAAACAAAAAACAGAATGGTCTAAAGAGCCAATGGTGGATACCTGCCATTATGTTTAAGAATGCCAGCAACAGTGAACTCTGGACTCTCATGTCGAGTTGTCCTCGTTCCAGAAACAGAATTTCTCCTGTCTAATGAGTCTGAATCGAACTACGAAAAGTTATGTTCGGTTCACAAATTCCCTTTTCGGCTTAAATGCTAAATAAATGACTATCTTTACGATGGGATCGTAATTGGATGTTTTATCCATTTAGTTATGTTCAAACTGAAAATCTTTATGATGCTTTAAATACGTAAATTAATGGCAAATCTAAGTCTGATTCGATGATTAAGCCATCGATGATCTTAAATGTTAATGGTTCGAGAGGAGGAGAGAAACCACCTTGACACGAGGAGGCATCTATATGCACACCAAGGAAAAGACTGTAGTCCATAATGCCCTCAGCCTCCAGAAACTCGCAATCATACTTGAGTTGCCTGAAGAACATAAGAACACTCTCTTAAAACTACGCCACAGGGGACGTTTCGTCCTTAGGATGATTATTTATGAAGCATTAACGCAATGAACTTACGACAATATCTTGTTACGGAGGGACGGATCGAGGTAAAAGTAGAAATCAAGATCAATATCTTTATAGATTATCTCCTCATGGACTATCACTTTGTTAAAATTCCGACCTCTCGACGAACCTTTGAGATCGTATCGCCGATGCAAGTGCAAATCTGATTGCAAGACGTTTGACATGCCCACAAAGTAAACCTGAGAAAACAAAAAACCATTAAACAAGCATCAAAATGAAAACTAGATACACACAATCTCTACAATTTATGAGTTGCACTCTTCCAGATAAACTTCTTCATCAAAGCTTAGACAAAGCCATTCTAATATGGAAGAAGTGCTTATCTTTATACTCCTACAGATACAGTAAGACCATAAGCTCATGAGACAGGACATCAATACAAATTTCTGGTACCTTAGTACCTCCGACGGGTCTCACTACGTGAAGTCCATATAATGTGGTCAACAATGACGAGCCGTACTTTTTTAGATGTTGATAGTATTTAGGAAGCATGTCCCTCAGAACCTGAGATCAAGTGTTGAGCTAAAATAAGGTGATATGAACCAAGGCATCTCAATCATGTAATATTAACACCACGTTAAGAAGAATTAAGCTTCATTTATGCAACAAACGCTTCAAGATACTTCAAGTGGAGCTTTATTTATTGTTACAAATTTATGATGGATGATAATTTAAAGATATGTGTTTGTTTAATGTATTTTAAGGCTTATTTACATAATGGCTAATTATGGTCATAAAATATAGTTACAACTCTTGGAATGCCTCATGGAAGATTAATGGTTTTCATTTTGAGGCTATTAAAGCCATGTACGTTGTCATTTAAAACGGGGCTTGAAAAATGTAGTAAAAGAAGCATTTGTGCTTTCCTTTAGCCAATAACTAAGTTTCTTTGCAATTCTATGTAGTTTAAATTGCATGCAGAATCATTCAAGTTTGACATGATCAATCTTTCTTGTGGAGTGATTTGAATCTCAACAAAGGCTAAGTGTTCTTACCTTTCCTTTGCAATTCTATGTAATCTAGATTGCATGTTTAGAATCATTCAAGCTAGACATGATCGATTTTTATTATGGAGTGATTCGAATCTCAAACAAGTGTTCTTATCTTGAGATATTCGATCAACAAAGTAATCCGAATCTTACTTTCCTTGTACTCATTTCTTATCATTTGGTACCGGAGCTTTCTCTTGAGTTGATTCCTTACGATAAGGTCTCAATTCAATACTTACCCGAGAAAGTTTCGGGTATAAATTTTTGGTAGGAAAATCTGAATTGTATTTATCTGCAAAGCAAGCAGACATTCTATGATATTGTTATGATGGGCTTACCTTGACTTGAGATTTTCGCAGGGTTTTTATCACAAATCTGTTGTCATTTGAGAGAAATATCACGTTGCCAATTCTTCCGGGCGAAGAAACTTCTCTTAGAGTCTCATCCCCACAAATGGACAACATATAGTCAGCATACTCTATTTTCTCTAGCTCTAGTATGTTTCTGGAAGTACAAACAAACGAAGAAAATAAGGAAAGCTTAAACTTTTAGCTTCATCGAGCTCCAAGATTGTTAGGTGAACTTGAAACAACAAGCCCCGGGCTAGCACGTATTATCTTCTTTGAGCTTTCCCTTCAAAGGCTTCCCCTCAAGGTTTTAAAACACGTACGCTAGGGAGAGGTTTCCACACTCTTATAAGGAATATTTTGTTCCCCTCTCCAATTGATGTGGGATCTCACGATCCACCCTTTAGGGGGCCTAGCGTCCTTGCTAGCACACCTCCCGATGTCTAGCTCTGATATCATTTATAACAGCCCAAACCCACTGCTAGCAGATATTGTCCTCTTTGAGCTTTTCCTTTGAGATCTTCCCCTCAAGATTTTAAAACGTGTCTGCTAGGAGAGGTTTCCACATCCCTATAAGGAATGTTTTGTTTCCTTCTCCAACCAACGTGGGATCTCACAATCCACCCCCCTTGGGGGCCAACGTCTCGTTGGATACCATTTGTAACAGCCCAAGTCCACTGCTACCAGATACTGTCCTCTTTGAGCTTTCCCTTCAAGAGCGTCCCCTCAAGGTTTTAAAACATGTCTACTAGGGAGAGGTTTCCACACCCTTATAAGGAATGTTTTGTTCCTGAGCTTTCCCTTCAAGAGCGTCCCCTCAAGATTTTAAAACATGTCTACTAGGGAGAGGTTTCCACACCCTTATAAGGAATGTTTTGTTCCCCTCTCCAACCGATGTGGGATCTCACAATCGTCCTCATTGGCACACCGCCCGGTGTCTAGGTTTGATACCATTTGTAACAGTCCAATCCCACCACTACCAAATATTGTCCTCTTTGAGATTTCCCTTTAAGAGATTCTCCTCAAGGTTTTAAAACACGTATGCTAGGGAGATGTTTCCACACCCGTATAAGAAATGTTTTGTTCCTCTCTCCAACTGACGTGGGGGATCTCACTGAACTTGCTAAGGATTCAGACAATCAAGGACAAAAGGTTGGATTCACAAAAAAAAAAAAAAAAAAAAAAAAAAAAAAAAAAAAAAAAAAAAAA